CCAGCGCCATTCATGGACTCGGGGAAGAGAGAACAACGGCCACACTAGCAAACAAACCCAGTCTGGGAACCTGCGCCATGCGTGGGTTGCTGCTGGACTGGGAAGAGCCAGACTCCAGCCCCTTCTAGCATGCGGGCTGGCAAAAAGAAATACCAACCCGACTCCCCACCCCCTGTAAGCAACAGGCTTATCCAGAGAAACACAGGCTGTGTTTCAGTTGATCCATAAGTCTGCTATACCATATCCTTTCAAGGAACACTAGGACTTTGTTGGGGTTTGCTACAAATGTTATTAAAAAGATCAATTGGTTTGATCAAAATGTAGAGACCCAGACATTTTCAAGGTGAAAATAGGTGACCAGAGTTGACAACTAAGCTTTTTGTAATCTGTAGTTTCCCATTAAATCTCAAAGTAGTTATCATTTGTAGTAGTTAACTATGGGCTGGAAGGAGAAACAAGATGCATCCTTCCAGTGAGCCAGTGGTAATCATGAGCCAGTGGTAATTGTGGGCCAGGCGAAACAAGAAGCATCCTTCCCATGAGCCAGCCAGCACATGGGCTGGGAGACAAGCAGTTCCAAGGCCCATCCTCCTCCAATAAGCAACCAGCTGATTCAGAAGAACAGATTAAGTAGACAGCAACTGAGGTACAAAAACAATTTAGTGTGTGTATAGTTTGACTGACTTTGCAAGCCTAAAGTTGGTAATCTGAGCATCTCTGTAGAGGATAACAATATGCAATATAGCAAAAATGGGTAGTTTTCTTCTGTCCTGTTTTTGAAATCCAATATTATATTGTTGTGTTGTTTCATTGTTTTGTTTTGCTCAATGTTTTGTTTTGGTCTTACTCTGTTTTGCTTGATTTTATTATGTCTGATGGTTTGGACAACAATTTTGAAGATAACAAGAGACATTATGGTAGCAATGGTTGATTTCCTGTTATCCTGTTTTGAAGCCCTGTATCACTTTGTTTTGTTTTGATTGGCTTTATTTTTTTTAGTTTCTTTAAAATAAAAACAAAATTAAAGTAGTTATCATTTGTTGTGTTACTTTAAATTCTAGTTTTTGTTTTTTGTACCGAGAGTCAAACTCTGGACCTTGCACTTGCCAGGAAGGCACTGTGACACTGAGCTATATCCCCAACCCCTACTCTTTTCTTTTCTTTTTTTTTCAGAAGGCAGTTGTTTATTACACTGGTAAGCTGGTGGAACCAAGTCCAAATCACCAGTCCTGAGTCAGTTTTGGGTTTAGTTAATATAAGATTTCAATCATGAAGTACAAAGCTGATAACAGGTTATCATCTAACTGGTTACATGAATCAAGTCACATGCTGTCAGGCAAGTTTGTTCCTAGCAAGTTAGTTGGAGGAGTTGTTTATCATGAGGTGGGAGAACATAGGGTGGGAGCTGGAGCTGAAGGAGTGGTTGAAGCTAAGCATGTCCTTCACTAGTTTATCTTGGTTGGACAGTCATTGAAAATAGAGTACGTTAATATGTTAGATAGTACAGGGGGTCCAGATGGATGCAGTCAGACTGAGCCAGGTTGGACCATCTCTAAACTGCAGCTGACATGGTCAGTGAAGGCTGAGTTTAATGGTCTAATTATGTGGTGGGCTGGGTGAACACATTTGGTCTTAAAAGAGCATCAGACTGTTGATTTTTAACTTTTCTGTCACAGCAGCACATAGGAGTTTGGCCTGGTGTTAACAGCCTTCTACTTTTAACGCCTCTCCTTGTTTCCTTGGGTATATTTCTTTCATAATTTACCTAATCATTGCTCCTTGCCCCATATCTACACCCCAGAGACCCCAGGTAAAATGTTTAGATTAACCAGATATAGTGGCACACACCTGTGATCCAGCTCCTCTGAAGGCCGAGACAAAAGAATCCCAAGTTCAAAGCCACCCTGGGAAACTTACCAGCCCCTTATTTTAAATTCTGAACTTTGAGATCTTTTTGAATAACATGATGGGATTTGAGAAATATATGAGAAGAATGGCTAGACATGAAATGAAAGTGCAAAGGTCCTGGCTTCAATCCCCACTACCAGCAAATCAAATAAAACTACTGATATATACCCTAGTCAAGGAAAAAAAGTCCATATATTGGAAAGATGATTCTTACCAGGAAAATGACATGATTATATATACGGAAAACACTGAACAATCTAGCAAAAAAGCTACTGAAACATGTGAATTGATCTAGGTTGGTGGACACAAGATCAAAACAGAAAATTAATGAATTTCTGTACACCAGCAATTACTGAAAAAGCTTTTTAAAAAACTATACATTTGCAATAGCATACAGAAATATGGAATACAAATGTTTAACAAAGTATGAAAGACTATACACTGAGAGAAATGGTTTGGTATACCACACTCCAGGAAAACAGAACTGTTAAGATGTTAGTACTGATCTTTATTTTCTTAATTTTTTCCTTTGAAACAGGATTTCACTACACAGTTCAAGCTGGCTTTCAATTCACTTTGTAGCCCAAGCTGGCTGCCTCAGCCTCCCTAGTGCTGGAATTACAGGTGTGTGCCGTCAAATTCAGCAGTTTTTCAGACTTTTTAGAATTTTTATTAGTAGTATTTTCGGAACATAATGATTACATTCACTGTGGGAAACTAGGATAAAGTTTTGGAAAAGAACAAGCTGAAGCACTTCCAATACTTAATTTCAACATGTATTGTAAAGTGGTTAAGTGTCATAGCGGGATGACAATACAAGGACAAGAGTAAAAGAACAAACCACTCACACATGATCATTTGTTTTTACAAAAGTGTGGAAGTTTATTCAATGAGAAAGTATAGTCTTCCAACAAATGATAAAAATAAACAACTGGTTAACCATATAGACGAAACCTGAATATTGATCATCATTGCATAATGTACACAAAAACGAACTCAAAGCTAGGTGTGGTGATACATGACTATAATCCTAACTACTTGGGAGGCTGAGGCAAAAACACAAAGCCAGCCTGGACAGTTTAACAAGAGCTTGTCTTTTTAAATTATGTTTTGTTTTTTCAGATAGAGGGTTTCACTGTGTAGTTCAGGCTGGTCTGGAACTCAATCCTATTTAAACAAAACCAAAGCCAGGGGTACAGCTCAGTGTGAGAGCCTGGGTCTGGGTTCAATCTTCAAAACACACAACTCCACATGCCCAAAAAATAAAAAGTAAAAAAGGAATGGAGGCTGAGGATGTAGTTTATTGGCACAGCACTTGCTTAGTACTGTACATCTAGATTCCTGAGTTTGATCAGGACACCACATACATCACTCTCAAAATGAATCATGCACAAAAACATAAAAGCTAAAAGTTCAGATGTGTGTGTTGATGGTAAGTAAAATGCATTGGCTTTGAGGAGAGCTTAAAAATAAGTTCCTTAGGATTAGGGTCAGGGTTTAGCTCAGCAACATAAGTGCTTGCTTGGCAAGTACAAGGTCATAAATGCAATCCCTGATACAAAAAAAAATTAAAAATCATAACTTTATGGCAGACATGGTGGTACACACTTGTAATCCCAGCATCCTGGAAGGCTGAGGCTGGAAGACCTCCAGGACCACGAAGAAAATTGTAACTATAAAAGATCTGATTGCTGGGCACCCCTGTAATCCCAGCAGCTAGAATGAGCAGGACTGCCACAAATTCAAGGCCAGGCTGGACTGCACAATGAACTCCAAGCCAGCATGAACTACATAGTAAGACCCTGTAGAAGGAAGGAAGGAAGGAAGGAAGGAAGGAAGGAAGGAAGGAAGGAAGGAAGGAAGGAAGGAAGGATGGATGGAAGGAAGGAAGGAAAGAAGGAAGGAGAAGAAAAAAGAGAAGAGACATGATGTGATGTGAAGTCTGGTATGGTGGTACACACCCATAATCTTAGTACTCTGGAGGCTGAGGAAGGAGGATCACTATGAGTTCAAGGCTAGCCCGCCTCGGCTACTAGTGAGTTCAGTGCCAGCCTAGGCTACATAGCAAGATCTTGTCTCAAAAAAAATTATTTTTCTTTTGGTAAGCTGGACTTATGAAAAGGCAAGCCAAAGGCTCTAAGAAAATACTCATAATAAACATGCATTTTCTCTCTAGATCATGGGAAAGATTCTTATAAATTGGTAAGAGAACCTAGTTTTATACAGTTCAAAATATGTGGCCATATCATAAAAGGTGAACAGCAATCATTACTTTAAAGTACTGTGCAGCATTCAGCAGACAGGTACAAATTAATACCAGAGGGAATAGCGTCAACTTTAAGAGATTGACGGTATATTTGTGTTGTCCAGGATCGCAAACAACAATCATGTCACACTGTAGCAGGAGAGTTAGACAGATCAGAGACCTCTGTCGTAGTTCTTACAATGTTAAAACACACAACACAATACACTGTTTACATAACCCCCAAACTCGCACTGAAATTGGAGCCCCAAATGTGAGTACCAAGAGATGAGGCCTGGCCAGGGATTTAGCTCAGTGGTGTAAGCACCTGCCTGGCAAGCATGAGGTTGTGAGTTTGATCCCCGGTACCACACACACAAAAAGAGATAAGGCCTTTGAGAGGTTATCACACCACAAGGGCAAAGCCTTCAAGAGTGGGATTTATGCCTCTGTAACAGGGAAAGGTCTCTAGACTCCTTCTGCCATGTGAGGTTACAGTAAGAAGATGCTCATCTCTGCAGGAAGAAGGCCTTTGTCAGATACCCTATCTGCCTACACCTTGGAACCCCAAGCCTTCACTACTGAGAAATAAATTTGTCCTTTACAAGCCACCTAGTTTATGGTATTGGTTAGTCTCTTAGATGAATTAAGGTTCTTATAGTTTTTAGGGGCCACAGATTCTCTTTTTTTTTTTTTATTTTTTTTTATCAGTACCAGGGATCGAACTCACGACTGCAGGCTTGCAAGGCAGGCACTTATGCTGCTGAGCTAAATCCCCAGCCCCATTAAGGTCCTTATAATGTAGCAACAAACATATTTGCCCGAGAAATAAAACACATGTACAAATACATAAATGTTTGTAGCAGTTTTATTCCTTTTTTGTTTTTGGTAATAATGGGGATTAAACCCAGAAAGCACTGAGATGCATCTCCAGCCCTTGTTAGGGTCTTACTAAATTGTCCAGGCTGGTCTTAAACTCGAAATCCTCCCGTGTCCCAAATAGATGCACATGTAACAAGCACATGTAACCACACCTGCCTGGCAACTTTTTTTTTTTTTTGCAATAGTAAGGATTGAGCCCAGGGCCTCATGCATGCCAGGCAAGGACCTTACCACTAAGCTACAAACCCCAGTAAGTTTCTTCTTCAGACTTGAAACTGGAAACCCTTATTTCCATAAACAGATCAATGAATAACAAATGACGATTTTTCTATACAATGGGATATTAGCAACAAGAACTACCAAAACACAAAATGTGGTTAACCTTAAAACCACATTGAAGGGACAGAAGTCAGGCACTAATGAGTACACAGTAGTCCACGTGTTTGACATTCTAACAAGCAACACTAATCTACACTGACACAAAGTAATTACTGGGGTGGGGGTAGGCTCATGGGAAAGAAAACTTTTAGGTGAAAATTTGCTTATCTTGATTAAAGATGGTGGATAAAACAGATTTAAGCATTTCCCAAAGCTCTGTACACTTAGAGTTGGCATTTTGTTGTACTGATTAAAATGGTCCGTATCACCTACTTCTTTACCATGTGAAACATCTCTAGAGAGTTTTTCAAAGTAGGTTTTGTATGTCCTTTTGAATTGTGTTCCCTCAAGGGTTGTCAGGATTTGTTAAAAACGCAAAATATGCCTTTATGAGGAAAAAATTTTCTTTTTAAATCATGTCAAAGCTGGCTTCAGTTAATGTTCAGATGAACTGCTTATTTACCAAATCAAAGGCCACAGTATGCAGTTCTGCTGAAGGGACTTTACCATGTGCCAAAGTTGCCTTCTCAGCTGCCCAACCAAGCAGCAGCCTGGTGAGCCTGCCTGTGTTTGTCTAACTTCCTCTCCCATATCATCCTTTTCCTCCAGTGAAAAAGCACTTACTGGCATCTAAGCCAGTTAAAATGTCACATCTCCTGTGAAGGCTTCCTAGATCTGCCATGCCACTAGTCACCTTATAATGCACCAACAAGACCTGGAGCACACATCCACTTTGGCACTTCACTCACTGGAACGTCATGTCTTTCCCACTGTACTCCACAGTACTGTAGTGCAGGTCGCCTCTTACTTTCCCAATCTTCAGAACTATTCCTTACAATTCAAGTTTCCAAATGAGTGATAATATGAACCAGAGGGCAAGAAATTGTCAAGATATGAGTCAATAGGGGTTGGGGATTTAGCTCAGCGGCATAAGCGCCTGCCTTGCCAGCAGGCAGTCGTGAGTTCGATCCCCGGTACCGATAAAAAGGAAAAAGACCAAAAAAAAAAAGATATGAGTCAATCTTGGAGCTGCTGTGTTATGGTTTAAAACTAAAATATCCTGCAAAACTCTCACGTACTCAGTGCTGGGCTTTTGGAAGGCAACTAGAACATGGGGGTGCTACATTCTTCAGGACATTCACCCATTAACTTTAGCAGCTGAATGCAGTGTCATGAGTTGGGGCCTGGTAGGCAGGTCAATGGGCACATAACATATCTCCCTCTCCTGCTCTCCTTTATGCGCTTTGCTTTCTGGCCTCCACGATGTAAGCAATTTTCCTCTGCTAAGCCCCTCTACTATGCTATTTCTTCCTCGGAACCTATGGAACATGGACTGAGACTTTTGCAAACATGAGCCAAAATAAACCTTTCCACCTTTAAATTGTGGTTATCAGATACAATGTCTCACTGCCATCCCGTGACAAGAAAAGTGACTCAGACATAATGATCCCCCTACAAAAGACATGAGCTAGGACAAAGTTGTGCAGTATACTGGAGTCATGCACCCCTCAAGTACCTGGGGACATTGAGGACATTAGGTGGTTGCAGGTGAGGCTCTAGGTGGCAATGAGGGTGCCAATACAGACAGGTAATTCAGCAACTCAGGCCATACACACACACACACACACACACACACACACACACACACAACCCTCAAAATTTTAAAATAGCAATAAAGGACAAAGCAAGAGCTGCCAATTACAGATGTAGAGTGCTTTTTATGGCTGCATACTATGCACTGGGGATGTAGGACTCAATCAGGACAAGATCAGTATCAAGGAACTGAGTGTAATGAGAAACGATTCATAATTCAGTAATAAGAGGTAAGTGCCGAGCCTCAAAAGCATGGAAAACTTGCTGGCTAAGTGCAAAGGAAATGTTCCTTAAAATGATGCCAGGGCCTTGCAAGATGAGTTAAGTCAGCAGAGCAGGGCAGAGAGCAAGAAGTGGGACATACAAACTGTGTGGCTGGGAACTGATCAGCCAAGGAGATTAAAGCCTTCAGATGCAGAACATGAGGCTTGGTGGTATCCCCAGGACAACAGGTAACCCGAGAAAATGTTCTCTAGCCTAATAGGCAATCCTCTCTTAAGTAATGAGACTAAGTTCACAGCTCTGCTCTGCCAAGATCAAACTCAAGAGGGGGTTGTATTTATCAATACAATCTAGAAATCTTTTCTTCCAACTTGTTCCAACTCAAAAGCCAACCGTCCAGTGGTAGGCACCAAACCACTCCAAACACAGCCCCTCCAGGTTTCAGGAAACTGACACATCCAAATCTTGGAAACTATAAAAACCCCAATTCCACCCATCTCTAAACACCACTCTGTGAGTTAAGAGTGATCATAAATTACCCATATGACCTTCCTGCCCTGTGAGCTCACTTAAACATGTAGGAGTCTCATTTAGGGAAAGGGCCTCCTGGTCAATAAAGTCAGGAGGTGGCGTACAACCCTCTCCAAGCTGACTACACTCATACAGTTTCTCTTCAGTATGCATCTTCTGGTGTTGAAGGAAGTTTGATCTCTGGATGAAGCCTTTCCCACAGAAACTGCACACATAAGGCTTCTCCCCTGTGTGCACAATCTGGTGGAGCAGCAGCTTAGAGCTTTGGATGAACGCTTTCCCACAGTCTTTGCACTCAAATGGCCGATCCCCAGTGTGGATCTTCTGATGCTCTGTGAGATGGGCTTTCTGCAGAAAAGCCTTCCCACATTCTTTACATTCATATACCCGCTCACCAGTGTGGATTTTCTGGTGCCGGATAAGATATGAGCTCAGGAAGAAGGCCTTCCCACATTCATCACACTCATAGAGTTTCTCCCCAGTGTGGATTCTCTGATGCTGAGTGAAGTTGGACGTCTGGCTGAAGCGCTTCCCACACTCATTGCAGACATAGGGCCGCTCTCCAGTGTGTATTCTCTGATGCTGAATAAGTTTTGAACTGCGAATAAAGGCCTTTCCACATTCATTACACTCAAAGGGTCTCTCCCCAGTATGAATCCTCTGGTGCTCGACCAGGTCTGAGCGGTGGCGGAAGGCCTTCCCACAGTCCTTGCACTCATACTGCTTTACTTCTGTGTGGATTTGATAATGCCGAATAAGGCTAGAGCTCCTGATAAAGGATTTCCCACATTCATTACACTCATAAGGTCTTTCACCTGTGTGAATTCTCTGATGGCGAATGAGTAAGGAGCTCTGGCTGAAGCCTTTCCCACACTCTTTGCACTCAAAAGGCCTTTCCCTAGTGTGAACTCTCTGGTGCCGAAGGAGGTCTGAGCTGTGACAAAATGCTTTCCCACACTGAGCACATCGGAATGGCTTTTCTCCCATATGCACTTGCTGGTGTTCAGCAAGGTTTGTGTAGTGAATGAAGTCTTTCCCACACACATTGCACACATACAATCTGTCTTCAGTGTGGGCTCTCTGGTGCTCTGCAAGGTGTGAGGTCTGACTGAAGTCTTTTCCACAATGCTCACATTTATAAGGCTTCTCACCAGTATGAGAAATCTGATGTTTAACTAGGTCTGAATTAAATGGGAAGCTTTTACCACAAATACTACTGAGATGGGGCTCCCCTTCTATAAGCTCCCTTTGAAGTATAAGAAGGTTTGGGTTCAGAATAGGATTTCTCCCTGGCTTACTGCAAACTTGGGCTGTCTCTGCTGTTTGGATTTTCCAGTGGGTCACTGTGACTTGTTTGAACCCATCCTCTTGAGAGGAAGGACTCCCTAGGTTCTGTCCTTCTGGGTTTCCTAACAGCTGCCCTAACCTGGCTTCACGGACTTCTCTAGACTCAGAGGTAGGGTGCTCCATTATGGTGAGTGTGTCTGACATCGTCTTATGGGAATTTTCATCCTCAGAAATTCAAGCTTTGAAGTCACCTTCTTATCACCATCTCACTCTGCAGCAGAATCTGAAACAAGAAGATTGTTTTTCTTCTTTGTTAACAGGAAGCTACTAAAGCACATGGAGGATTCAACTGTTTCCTCTACCTATACTCCTGATCCCACAGTTACCTGAAACAGCCAACATCATTTGGGAAATCTTGTTATGGTTCTACCTGTAACATGTCCAACTCTAGAATTGTAGTTCTACCTGTAACATATCCAACTCTAGAATTGCAGTGCACAGCATTCTGCCGACCCTCTGTGCCCCCTGAATGTGGGACAGTGTCAGGGACATAACTTGGACCCTACTGAAAAATCAAGATCCATGTTTCTAAATGAACACTGAAATTTATCAGTGCTAGCACCTGGTAACTCACTGTCTCTTATTCCTTCATATCTTTTTTAATTTTTAAACTTTTTTTTAAAAACACGATCTTGCCATGTAAATTAACCTTGAACTGGTGGTAATCTTCTTACCTCAGTCCCTTCCAAATGAGCATATACTAGGAAACCATGCCCAGTCCTTTAGATCTTGCCTTCAGTCCCCAACTACTGTGGTCCATGGTCCTAGTCCTGAATTTATTTGAGGTTACAAGTTACACATGGCCATAGCGCTGACAAGAGCTGCAGCTCTTGCGGGAACCAAATCCAGTTAAGACCCCCTAACTTTCTGTCCCTGCAACCCTTCTAGTGGTTTTGTCATCTAGTTCCCTGGATCAAAGCAGTTGCTGCTTACAATGGCTACAGTGGTCTCTGCTTCCTCCTTGGCACAGTTCTTACCACTCGGTATTCAACCCTGCACACTTCAGTTCTACATCTGTGATTAGAATAACTCTGGCTCAAAAACATTTTAAGAAAAATATTGTTTGCACCAAACATGTACAGATCTTTTCCTTTTTTTTCCTGGTGTTTTTTGAGGCAGGGCTTTACTACATGGTTCAGGCTGGCCTTGAACTTCCTTCGTAGCCCAGGCTGGCCTCAAAATCACAGCTATTTTTCTGCCTCAGCCTCTCGAACACTGGGATGACAGGTGTGCACCACCATGCCCAGCTCTTTTTCCTGTTATTATTCCCTAACAACAACAACAACACTGCAGCAATTATCTACACAGCATTTATACTGTATTAGGTATGGCAAGTCATCTAGAGGTAATTTATAGCATATGATAGCTATGTAGAGGTTACAGGCAAATACTGCATCATTTGTTTTTTTGTTGTTATTGTTGTTGAGTCTCGCTGTGTAGTTCAAGCTGGCCTTGAACTCACTGTATAACCCAGGCTGGTTCAAACTTGTAGCCATCCTCCAGAATGAGCCATCACACCAGGCTCTTATACTTTTGGCTCTTCAGATTTTGGTATCTGGTGAAATTGAGGGGCACCTATATAATCACCCTCTTTATATACCTATAACTGCCCTATACTTTCTCCCTCTGCAGCGTGTGGGGACCCAGCTCTAGTTATATCTAGCTTGCCTCCTGACCTGTCTACACTCTTGTATTACATTTACAGCTCTACTCAATGTCTCCAAAAGCTACAATCCCCTAACTCTTCTGCTGTTTTCTTTCTTTTTAAATGTGCAACATCCCCTCCTGCCCCTCAGCTGATGACCTCACTTCAAGTTTTGATGAGAAAATAGAAGTGGTGAGACAAAAATGTCTATTTCCCCCATCTACCTACATTTAAACCCAAGTGCTTTCCCTTCTGTTGAGTCAAACTGTCCCTTTGCTTTAGAACACTGCCCTTCCATTTCCTCCTGCCACCATTCACTCCCCTATGAAATCATGAGCTCCTTTCCCTCTCAGCAGCCCAAGATCCATCACATACAGCAATGCTAGCACTTCCCCTACCTAAAAGTCTAACTTTACGGCATACCTGTGGTCCCAGCTCCTGGGGAGCCTGGAGTGGGAGGATCACTTGAGCTTATGAGTTCAAGGCCAGTTTGGATAACACAGTGAGACCCAGCCTCAAAAAGAAACGGGGCTGGAGGCAGAACTCAGTAGTAGAGTGTTTGCTTCACTTGCCCAAGGCTCTGAACTCGATCCCAAAAAACAAAACAAAGCATGTTTTGGAAAATTTTAAACAAAAACCCTCACTTCTTGGGTCCTATTATCTTTAAGTATTACCTCATCACTCTACTTCTCTATAGTAACCTTCACAGGGTCACTGGACTTGTTTTTCCATCTCCTTTACAACTTTCAACCTACTTCAGTCAGACTTACACCCCAATAATCCATCATGTCACCCAGCTGGCAAGCCATAGCACCCCACTCAGCTAAGCTACTGGCAGAAGCTGACATCCATACTTTCCCTCTTCTGGGTCACCTTTTCAATAGGTTTCTGAGCCAGCCTCTCCTGGATCTCTCCCTTCTTCACTGACCACTCCCTCAGCGTACCCACCCATGACACCAGAGCCCTGCCGTGTACCACTTTCCATCTCCATTCACTCTGGAGGTGAGCACACCCACTTTAGGAGACACATAGACTCCACTGCTGAAACATGCACTCTACCTGTAGCTTAGCCACCTTCCTAACTTCTACCCTTGACCAGCTCTAATCACAATACCTTCACCTGGATATTTTCTGAAGCTTTTCAAACTAACGTGTTAAAACTTTCTGATTTTCCTCCCTGAATCAGCCACTCTATAGTAAGAACGCCAACATCCCATTTGCTCAAGTCACGATTATTGCAAAAGTCCTTGTCTCACTTTTCTTTGTTCACACTCCACATACAATTGTCAGACCTGTAAGCTGAGCCTTCACACAACTTTCAACACACCTTCTATCATCATCTCTTGAAAGAGGCCCCTAAACTTGCCTCCAATTCTCCTTTCCCTATCCTCTTCCTCATAGCCTGAAGAATGACCTTTAAAAAGCATAAATCTGGGGCTGGGGATTTAGCTCAGTGGCATAAGTGCCTGCCTGGCAAGTGTAAGGTCATGAGTTCGATCCCCAGTATCAAAAAAAAAAAAAAAAAAAATCATAAATCTGATTTTTTTTTCCTAATCAAACTCTTGTAAAGCTCTTTTTCCCAACATATCAAAGTCAGCATCCATCCCCAGGGGAGGTGATGAGCTGGCAGAATTAAATGCTTAAGACAATAGCTAGGCTTTTCAGCTCAAGTAGGCAGTCTGTTCCTCTTACAAACCAGCTTGAAAAGGGTGTACATGCTGCGCTGTTCCCCAAAGTCTTGAATTTTAAGCAGGGAAAGACCCATGAGGCAAGATGGAAGCCACACAGATTACCAACCAGTGGCCATCAGTCTAACTGGCATTTAGCCTGAAGAAGTCCAATGTCCCCGAAGCCTACTCTCTGGCTAGTAAAAAGGTGAACTTTTGCTCTTCACATGCCTTCACATGCCTCATCAGGTCCTCAAAGCTCAGCAAGGCACCATACTGAACAAAGAAACTGCACTGGCTCAGACCCTCCTCTGCACTTCAGAGGTGAGGTTCTCTCTCTCTAGACCTAGGAAGTGAACTAAAAGAGAAAGTAAATCATCCAGAGTCACTGAACCAATAAGAGTTAGAGCTTAATTCAAATTAGACCTACAGGCCTCTGGTGTCCATCTTCTCACTGTAAGAAATTTTTTTTCCTTCCCAAGTGTGATATCACTTCTGCAGGATATTTTAATTTTAAGAAGTCAGCTGGGCTTAGTATTCTGAAAATAATTTCATATGTTAAGCCTTGTCAAAGGGGTCCATGTTTGCACACCTGTAATCCCAGCACCTGAGAAGCTGAGGCAGGAGGACCACCTCAGCCTCCCAGGGATTATAGGCCTGTACCATCACACTTGGCTCTTGTTTTTTTTTGGAATGGGAATCGAACTCATGACTTTGCGCATGCCAGGCAGGCACTTATGGCACTGAGCTAAATCCCCAGCCCACACTTGGCTCCTGATGTTATTCTTGAGACAGGACCTTGCTTAAATTGCCCAAGCTGGTCTTGAATTTATAATCATCCAATCTTGGCTTTCTGAATAGCTGCAATTATATGTGTATGTCATTGCTCCCAGCTGCTTTTTATTTTTTCAATGACACTACCTGTAAACAAGTCTACATCTGTTTAGAATATAGTTTAAAACCATTTGTGTGCCTCTGAATGGTTTTCATTTACCTTTTTTTAACTTTGTTTTTTTTGTCTTTTTCCTTTTTATCGGTACCGGGAATCAAACTCACGACTGCCTGCTTGCAAGGCAGACGCTTATGCTGCTGAGCTAAATCCCCAGCCCTTTTTTTAACTTTAGAGGAAGTGTTTAAAATGGAATATTCCTGATGGGTGTGGTGGCACACACCTGTAATCCCAGCACTCAGAGGCTGAGGCAGGAAGATCATGGTAAATTTGATGCCAGCCTGCACAACAAAGTGAGACCTTACCCCCCCCCCCAAAAAAAAAGAGTATTTCCTGCTTTGAAGAATGGTCTGTCTTGAGGCTGGGATGTAGCTCAGTGGCAGATTTCCTTGTCTAGCATGTACAAGGCTGAATTTGATCCCTAGCACTGCCAAATGAATGCACTAATAAAATCTTTTTTTTTTTTTTTTTTTTTTCTTTTTGAAGCAGGGTCTCACTATGCAGTTTAGGCTGGCCTTGGGCTCACTTTGTATCCCTGGCTGGTCTTGAACTTGCCACAATCTGCCTGCCTCAGCCTCCCAAGTGCTGGGATTACAGGAGTGCACCACTATACCTGGCTTTAAAATCATTATTGAAAAAAAACCCTTTTTGGGCTGGGGATTTAGCTCAGCAGCATAAGCGCCTGCCTTGCAAGCAGGCAGTCATGAGCTCGATCTCTGGTACCGATAAAAAGGAAAAAGACCAAAAAAAAAAAACCCTTTTCTCTCAAAATCAGTAATTTCGGGGGCGGGGGATGGGTCTAGGAATTGAACCCAGGATCTTCACACTGAGCTACAACTCCAGTCCTTTTTTAATTTATTTTTTGTCTTTTTCCTTTTTATCAGTACCAGGGATCGAACTCATGACCACACACTTGCAAGGCAGGTGCTTATGCCGCTGAGCTAAACCCCCAGCCCCTCCAGTCCTTTTTTTAGACAGGGTCTAAATTGTCTAGGCTGGGCTTGAATTTGGGATTCTCCTGCCTCACTTCTGAGTGCTGAGATTATAGTATTGTGCTATCACACTTGGTTAAAATCAGAAATCTTATATTTCTGCTTAGCTCCTTCTATGAATATAAATACAATTACATCAATACTTTTTCATTTAAAATAATTTCAGTGAATAAAATTACACCAGGCTTGTGGCCCCATATGACCTTTTTCTACAATAAAATATGTAACTGCTAAGAAAAAAATTTACATGACATGGTCTAAATGCGCCCTCAAAGCTGTGCATCAGCAGCACTTACCCTGGGACATGCCTTATAGCACTAGAAGCTCAGGTTGTGCATCCATACTGGTAAAAGGACATTCCAGCCTTGCCTCTCAGCCAGTCACCACCTGTTGCTCAAGTCCTAAAGAAAAGGAGAAGGAAGATCTGCTGAGTTTCACCCTGAAGAAAAACAAAAGCATTGCTAGAGAACCCCATCAGAAGCCAGTGCACTTGCCACTGCAGTCATGGAGCATCTGGGCACTATATGTCAGATACTATGCCAGATGTGCTAAGTCTTCTCATGTTCTCTTCACAACCACCTAAGAGGATTTGGGAAGTAACTTGCTTAACGTCAAACAGAAGTGACACCAGTTTGCTGGACATGGCCATACATGCTTGCAATGCCATTACTCTGGGAGACTGAGACAAGAGGATCACATGTTTTGAGTCCATGCAAGGTCACTTAGCAAGACTGTCTCAAAATTAAAAAAATAATCAGTAAAGGGCTGAGGATGTAGCTCAGTACAAAGTCCCTGGATTCAATCATCAGTTCCAGGTACGGGCTAACCCTCCTCCCAGGTCATTTGGCTTCTATCTCCAGCAGCCCCTCTTCGGGCTCACCCAAGGATACTGATGAAAGTTTTCTCTTCCTAACAATCACAGTAGTCTTACCAGCCATCTTGCATAACCCAGGCAGCAGTCAGGGCTCTCTGAGCTGCTTCATGGTGCCACCTTGTTCTACCATCACTACTTCCCAACTCTCCTTCCATCTCCAGCCGAGCTCATAAGTGTCGTCAGGGCCTACCCAGTTCTGCCCTATTTCCTTATCATCACCAAGACCATCCCAGGAAAACCAGAAATCCATCCCCAGAACTCCAGTAAAGGCCCGGAAGATTGTGGAATCTCTCCTTGTACCTTCTATACAATCAGAGCAGGTATTAAGATTCTGTATAATGTCACATCCCTCACAGGGACACATGGACAAAACGAGGTATTGCCTAAAGACTCAGAACAATGGCCATCTATCAGATCTTGCTGGGCAGACATTTATTCTTTCAGCCATTAATTCTAGACCCTAGAGGAACGAGGGTCTACAACACTGCAGGGCAGCTTCAAGTATGAGCTCTACAGACAGAAGATCTGAGCTCAGTATCTGCACTCAGTTAACATCCCAGGAAATCTCCAGCATGCTTAGGCCCTAAGCATCCTTAATCGTGATGCAGCTAACGTGTAAAAGGGGGGGGGGGTCTCTGGCATCAGCAGAGTGAAGACAGTAAGATTCATAGAATTTTAGGGAAGCGAAGTTTCAGGGAAAAGCTAGGACAGTGTAAGAGACCACCTAGCCTCCTCTGGGAATTCTCCGTCAGGCCCAAGCTCTAGAATTGGCTTCGCTCGTCACACCCCCCTCTTGAGCTTCTGCCGTAGTAGCACAACGGTGTGGGTGCTGCAGATCCTGAGCAGAGGAGACAAGCCCACGCAGGGTCGGAGAAGAACTGCAGCGACGCCCGAGTCAGCACCACACACACCGGGGGCAGCACCACACACACCGGGGCAGCAGCCCGACGGCGGCTCAGAGGCTTGAACACCGCCACACGGAAGTCGGAGCTGCGGGGACGGTGGTGAGGGTGTGCAAGCCCTGCGGGCCGCTAGGAAACCAGACAACACGGGGTGGAGCCGGGTAGTTACCACTCGGAGCTCAGGGGAGAAAGACGCAGGCTCCAATCCCGCACCGGGCGCTACTCTGAGGCCACCGGCCAAAGGCAAGCGCAGTCAGGAAGACCCAAGCCTCCACCCGCCCGTAACACACCACTCATCCGGTACCTAGTGGCGAGAAGACCGCGAAGGCTTGACGCCCAAGCCACCGACAGCCCCGCAGGCTACCAACAAAGCCCACACAGTTTCCGACAAAGCCCGCACGGCGGCCGGCAAACCGCGACCGGAACTCGCCTGAGGCCCCGCCCGAGAACTTCCGTCGCCGCTCTAGGAGCAAAATCGGAGCGACCGCCTCTCTGTGGTCTTCAGCCGGGCGGAAGTAAAGACTCCCGGCAGCTTAGCTCTCACGGTTAGCAAGATTGATTGTACTCCGCTAATCAGCTTCCCGGAGCCGAAGACTCTTGGGAAAATTGGATATGTTGCAGGTCTTCAAACTTAGGCCCCTCTTGCGTCCCTCAGAGAGCGTGGGAAACGGTTCCCTTTCGCAGGAACATTGCTCCTAAAGTGTAAAATAGGCCTAAAGAATTCAGCTGCTGGAGAGCTATCAGCGCAGGTACCAAAGAAAAAAACAGTTGTGTTGTTCCCTGCAGAAGTCTCGGCTCCCCGCCCCGGAGACGCGGGCCTGCTGCTCCTGGCGCCTTCGGGCTAACCCTAGCCAGAACCAACTACTGGTCAGCCAACAAGCTCCTGAGCTGCTTTTCCTACAGCCTTTAATAAATAATAAAGGGAGCCTGCAGTTGAAGGTGTAGCTCTCCTCCAGCTCGATAGAGATCCCCAAAGACCTGAGTGCCATTCTTTTGAAATACAACCAGCAGAGGTGTGGTACCTGTGTCAGTCTCTGCCGGGAGATGGAATTCGAGCTCCATGACTGCCTACTAGGGACACAGCGGCTAATCACTTTTATAGCGATCAACCCTTTCGTCATTGTGCACTTACTGCCTCAATCTCTCTTTGAGACAGCCAGGAACCTCTGCACAAATCAGAATGGAGCTCAGCTCTTTCCCTTATCAGCAGTTTTTGAGTAAAATTTATTTTTACAGCTTTAAAAAATGTCTGGCTGTATCTGTAACAACCTTTAAAATGTATTTTTTTTAAATTTTTTAAAAATTTAAAATGTATTAAATGGCATCTAAATATCATATGTCTTAAAATGTGTGACTAAATTGGGCGTGGTGGCACACGTCTGTAATCCCAGCACTGGCAAGGCCGAGGCAGGAGGATTGCCAGGAGATGGAGGCCAGTGTGAACTACCTAGAGAGTTCAGAGCCAGCCTGAACTACAAAGGGAGACCCTGTCTCAAAGAAAAAAAGAAAAAAAAAGACTAAGCCGTTTCTTATGTCAATTTTAAAAGCCAACCTCTGGGCTGGGGATTTAGCTCTGTGGCATAAGTGTCTGTCTTGCAAGCGCGTGGTTGTGAGTTTGATCCCTGAGTTTGATCCCTGATACCGGTTTAAAAAAAAAAAAAAAAAAAAGCCAACCTCCCCCTTATTTTTTGACAGTTTTGCTGTGCAGTACAGGCTGACCTTGAACTCACTTTGTAGCTCAGGCTGGCCTCAAATTCACATCAATCCTTCCTCCACCTCCCAAGGGCTGCAATTACAGGATGTAGTGACCTTCCCCTTTTTGAATTTGTAGTTACATTCCACTCTCTCTGAAGAGTTTTACCTAATGTGATATATTTTCCATACTTAAGGATATATGACTCATTTCTATTGGATTTGTAAGTAGAAGTAGAGTTTCTAGATCATATGATAATTATACATTTAACTTTTTAAGAAACCATCAACAGATTTCCACAGTAGCTATGGCATTTCACATTCTCATCATATACAAGGGTTTCTTTCTTCTGTTTTTTTTTTTTTTTCCTTTGAGACGGGGTCTCACTATGTAATTCACGTTGGCCTTGTACTCACTATGTAGTCTAGGCTGGCCTCAAATTCACAATAATCTTCCTTCCCCAGCCTCCTGAGTGCAGATATTACAGGTATATACCACCTGTGTCCCTAGTAGGCAGTCATGGAGCTAGGATTCAATCTCCCGCCAGAGACTGACACAAGTACCATACCTCTGCTGGTTGTATTTCAAAAGAATGGCACTCAGGTCTTCGGGGATCTCTGTTGAGCTGTAGGGGAGCTACAGCTGGCAAAGGGGTTTCTATTTCTTCATACCTCATAAGCAGTTGTTATCTTCCTCCTTATATTATGGCCAACCTAGTGACTATGAAATGGAATCTCACTGTGATTACAATCTGCATTTTTCTAATAACTACTGATGTTGAGCATCTTTTCACGTACTGTTGGATCTTTATATATCTTCTCCCAATTAATGTCTATTTAAGTACTTTCTCCAATTTTTAATTGGGTTGTCTTGTTAAATTATAAGAGCTCTTTCTGTGTTTTGGTTACTGAATGGTTATCATCCATCATGATTTTTTGTGGCCTCAGTTGTATTACATTTGTCTATGTGTCTATCCTTATGTCAGTACTGGGCAGCGGATTTAGCTCAGCGCAAGTGCAAGGTGGTAAATTCAATCTCCCATACCAAAAAAACGCACATATATATATATATATATATATATATACATATTTATATGTGTGTGTGTGTGTGTGTGTGTGTGTGTGTCAGTACCATTGTGTTTCAATTACAACAGATATATTTCTATTTGTACTATATTTTGAAATTTAGGGAATGTGAACCCTCTAACTGTGATTTTATCAAGGTAAGTTTATTCTATGACTTCAGATGAATCTGAGGATTTTTCTATTTCTACCAAAAACAGTGGTTGGAATTTTCATGTAGCTGGTATTGAATGCTTTGATCCATCACCTCCCAATAATGCCATGAACTTATGATCTTATCAGTGGTTAATTCACCTGATGAAATTAGAATCCTCATGATTAATCACTTCCCCAAAAGCCCATTAGCAGGCAAACAAACTGTTAGCACATGAATTCTTTTTTTTTTAATTTTATTTAAGGAGAAAAAAGAAAAAAAAACAGAAAAAGGGTACAAGTTATACAGAATTTCAGAAAAAATAAACAGTAGGAAATCACTAGTTAATTACATATTGTCATCTTAGAAATATTTGTTGAAGTTACAAAATTAAAGCATATAGAGGGGACTTTCAAACAGTGAGACTGCAAACAGTTTTGTTCAATGATCCAACAAAACTCAATAATATGGTTATCTATCTTATACAATTAAATATATATGCAGTTATATCTTTTAGAGAACTTTCTTTTCCTTTCTTTTGTACAATGACAATTACACATTTTGGATATTATTACTCCCACAGTTCTTATTAATTTTTTTGAAGAAAGTAAAACCAAATGTGACATACCAGGACAGAGTCAGTCAAATCAAAAGGATGGACATAATAGATAATGTAAAAACAAAATACAAGGTGATCAACAATGGTTACCATAATGCCTCTTGTTATCTTAAAAAGAATTGCCTATATCATCAGTTATAATAAAATTGAACAAAACAGTAAAGAATAAGACCAATAAAACCAAAACATTGGAGACATTAGAGGACTTCAAAAGAAGATAATAGTCAACCAGAATGGGCGTCACAATGGATCTTATTTTCTTCATAGTTGTTCCCTAGACTTTCAAACTTGGTACTATCTAGCATAACAGAATAGAGGAAAATCAGTCAAAACAAGATGGTGAGAGCAATACAGAGTTTCAAATCAAGTTAATAGGAAATCATAGTGGGTTACTATAATATATCCTGTTATTTTTTATTTATTCTTCCCTTAATTAAAAGGATAAAAATGAAAAAGTAGATAATAAAAAGCAGATTTAGATAAAAAAAAAAGAGGGCATAACAACAAAACAGTGCAGGTCAAAACATAGCAATTTAAGGAAAATAGTGTTTCACCACAAGATAATCTCAACATAATAGTAGTTACCATAGTGTCTCTTCCCTTAAAATCTTTGGGTATAACTTCGTATACTGTAGCATCAAACATATCAAGACAATGTAAAACCATTCAAGAGAATGACAGTATTACAGGATATTTAGAATCAACTAACAGAAAATGAACAATGGTTTCTGTATAATCTCCTTGTCTATAAAAGTTTTTGCTTATATTATCACATATAATAAAATCCAATAAGATACAACACGTTAAAACCGATGGAGACAGAAGAACAAAAGCTTGATCGGACTTCAAAACAAGAGGATATTAAACCAGTACTACCTATTATGATGTCTTGTTTTCTCCAAAATGGCTGTTCCTACCATCCAACCTTCTCTGCCTCATTTCTGCTGAGCTTTTTTCTGTCACTAGTTGTCAGTTTGTGCTCTTCATTTGGCTTTCTGCTCCATTCATTGTGGCCTCTCTGCCACTGTTTCTGGAATCTTGGTATTTTTCATTTTTAGAATATCCTGCAGTAATCTCTGTAGAATTGAATTGGTGGTTGCAAATTCCCCTAGTTCCTCTTTATCCTGGAAGCACCTTGTTTTTCCATCAATTTCTAGGGACAGTTGTGCAAGATATATCAGTCTTGGCTGGAGGTTATTATCTTTCAAAGCTTGAATTATTTCCCCCCACACTCTTCATGATTTGATGGTTTGTGCCGAGAAGTCTGCTGTAATTCTGATGGGTGTTCCCTTGTAAGTGATCTGTTTCTTGTCTCTGACGGCTTTTAATATTCTGTTCTTATACTTGATTTCTGGAATTTTGATTATTATATGCCTGGGTGTAGGCTCTGTTTGGGTTGTAGGTGGCTGGGGTCCTGAATGCCTCATACATCTGAGTATCTTTACCTTTTGCTAAATTAAGGAAATTCTCCTGGATTATTTCTGTGAATAGCTTTTGTAGTTCATTTGTTTGAGTCCCTACTTCTTCTTTTATGTTCTTAATTCTTAAGTTATAGATCCTCTTGTCATCTTCTAGTCTTGGTATTATTGCTGTTTGTTTTCTTGTTATTTTTAAGAAGTTTTTCATTTCATGCTCCCACATTACAAATCTGTCCTCCAGTTCTGATAATCTATCCTTAGTTTCTTTCAAGCTGTTATGCCAGCTTTCAATAGAGTTTTTAGTTTCCTGGTAATCTCTGTGAACCTGCTTCACGTATTCTATGTTTTCTCTATTTTCTCCATCAAACAATTCTCCCCTTTTTTTCTGTTCTTCCATTCCACCATCTGTTTTTTCTTGGGTGGTGCTTAGCATTTCTCTAACTCTTCTTCTTATTTCTTGCTTTATTTCATTAAATATTTCATTTTTGAACTCGTCTATGAGGCTCCGGA